AAATTGCCTCCAGACTCTGAGACAGAATCTCTGCATCATCATTTGGGTGGTCAGGGGTGGAGATATAAAGCTGGGTATCATTGGCATATTGATGGTATGGTGCCATCAGGTGACTGCACCCAGGGGTTTCATGTAGATGTTAAACAGGGGAAGAGAGAGGACCCAGCAAAGAAGTGGCAGAGTAGACTTCCCCACCATCAATACTTACTACAACCAGCCCAGGAAGAAGAAAGACATCTAGCCAATACAATGCCACACACTCTCCAGAACCATTACAGAAGAATACCTCATCTGATGCTACTGAAGGTCACCAAGAGGTCAAGAAGAGCAAGGATGAATCCATCGCCCCTCCTGCACTCACCAGATATTATCCACAAGCACAAGAAATGCTGTTTTGGTCCCATATCCAAGCCTGAAACCTGACTGAAATGTCTCCAGATAACCCACTTCTTCCAGAATTCTCTGTAGCTATTGTATGAGTCCAACTTGGAACAAATCTGAAGGGCTTCATCTGACATACAGTATGCCCAGTACATTCCTCACAATTTTGTCTTATATGTACCCATTTCACAGTGCTATCCATATTCAGTCTATTCCAAGAGCTTTTAAACAGTTACAAACCCTGCATTTGTTAAAGTTTTTATAAATACATTTTTCTTTATCAAGGCATGCTAACTGTTACAGATTGATTTCGTTGTCATTTCTGTATGACAGGTAACACTGATTTCTTTTTAAATATATTTTCACACAAATATCTATTTCTCCTTTCACTGTCTATTATAAATCAGTTTTTCAGCATGGCTAGAGTTTAGTTTCTTTAAAAGGAATTTTGTTAGATTTCAATTGCAAGCATATCCCATAAAATAGTCTGATCTTAGTGGCGCCCACCCATGTGAAAAATAAAATGTTTTCAATCAGAAACAAATAAAAAAAGCATTTGCAATTTGCATTTGGATATTTCTTTTTAAAGGAGCACTTTTTACATCAATGTATTGAAAAATTCAAAAAACTGAAATATTATAATTTTGTTTTTAAATGCTCTTTAGATGGTAACTTAGTTACTCTCTCATAGCTAGAAATGAATAAATTTGTCACATTGATGTTATTCCATGGATCTTCCAAACACAATGGGTCATGTTTTCCTCACTTTACTGGGTGATTGAAAAAAAATATCCCAGCTATCCAACAGTTTGTACAAGTTTAGTGAGTTCCATACAGTTTGATGAACTAACCATTTGTAGACTTGTGTCTGTAGTGTTCACATTATGGCAGTAATGGGAAACAAACAACTGTGTACTCTTACATGTATCCTCCAGAACAACTTGAAATTTATCAATAGGACCATTTGTAAAGATTACGCAACTTAATTTAGGGGACTAAGGATTTTATGAAAATGTGGCAAATGATGGGGTTGTCCCCATATGTCATCAGTCCAATAAATATAGCAGGTGACATTGTGGATCTGTGTTTCTTCTTCTTGAAACATAGACTTCAAGAATATTCCCCACTCCTCTTTCATCAAGAGGAATTCTAAAGGTTCCCAGAAAGTTGCATAGAATTATCAGGTAAGTATGACTAATGTTCCTGTTGAAGCTCTTATTACTCAAAGATGGCCACTTCAGGTTGGTTCACTTAATTCTGCTGGGCATCAAATTTTAAACTTAGTATGAAAGGTACACAGAAAATTTAAAAGTACAACAAACCATTAGGTGATACACAGCTTCCAGGTAAGTGTATTAATTTATGCTGATAATTTATGTGAGAAATGATAATCTTGCAGCTACGATTATCTGAAATAATGATAGAATTAATCTTTACTCTTGGTGAAATATTTGAAGATATCTGGGGAAAGAAAAGCTGGGGTACTTGTTCCAAAAAAACAAAGAGTATCTGAAACTAACATGGCAGAAAAGCAAGTACATTTCAGGAGGACACACAAAGGAAAGGTTGCTACATGTATAAGAGCAGTCTAGATTTATCAGAATATGTAACAGGTAATCAGCAGATTGGTTGATAGAATGAATGGACAGAAATGGATAGAAAAGATATATAGAACATTTGCAAAAAAAATCCTTCTATTTAAAGAAAGAATCTTTGGATCCAAGTCAACATTTATTTTAAGCATTATAATTTATTGTACTTTCTATATATCATTTCCTCAAATGGTTCTCACCTTCAACAACAACAAATGTCTTCATTCTGTTGAGAAAACAAGTAAAGAAGCTGAAATCGGATAGTTATTTTCAACTCAAAGGCCAGGCAAACTGGTACTGCAGGTTATTTTTATTTTCTCGCTGATCCTAGATGCTTTTCCTACTTTTCTTTTTAGAAGGCAATCTTTTGACTGTATGTTCGCAAAATTTTATTCAAACCTATTTTAATTTTATTCATATTTTCAATAGGTGAGAATACACGTAGCTCAGGGTTGAATTGTGGAGTCCTTGGTGCTGTGTAAGTTGATTGTTTGCCCACAGAAGTTTCATTCAGCAGTGCTAGTGAGTGTGGGGTTTGCTCCCTGATTATATACAGTTGCTTGCCCTGCCAGTGTTGATTGGGAGTGTAGTTTCCTCCAAGGTAGTTCCTTAGTATCTTGTTTTCTGCTTGATTGTATCTCTGGTCTACATCCTGCTTATATAGATGTAGGCTACTGGAGAGGATGTGTTCTGGTCTTTTTGTTTCCTTGTTAGCTTTTGCCTCTTTTGAATGGTGTGTAAATTTGATTCATTTCTCTGTTTTTATTGATGGCTGATTTGTTTAAATGCAAAACTTCCAGGAATACTCTAGCATTTTTTGCATTTAGCTTGGTCTAGGATGCTGTTTCCCAATTGAAACTATGGTTGAATTTGTCCATGTGTTGTGAGATTAAGGAATTTTCATTGTGCCTTTGATTGCTAGTGGGTGTTTATGGATGCACTTTGCTAGTCTTCTGCCTCTTTGTCCTACATAGTAATTTTTACTGTCCTCATACTGTTTATTATAGATGATACCTTTTTTTTCTTCTTCTTGGGATACAGGGTCATTTGGTTTAGTTAAGAGATTTTGGAGGCTTTAGTTGGTTTTTGTATTATAGTGATGTTGAGGGGGGTTATAACAGTCTGTTGGTTGTTTCTGATGCTTTTGGAATATGGTACTGTTATCCTTTTCATACCTTGTTTTGGTTGTACTATAGAGGGTTGAGTGATCAGGTATTTTTTGAAAGTTGCAGGAGTATCATTTTGTTGGGAAATGTTGTATCTTAGCATTCTGGTATGTAAGATGTTGGCAGTCTGTTTCTTTTTTCTGGTGTTCCTGGTTGCTGCACCGTTTGTATTCATCTGAATAATGTTGTTACATAGCTCCTCTAGTGGAAGGTTGGATGTTACTTTGGCAATAGAGCACTCAGTTAGTATTGGTTTTCAGAGTTGAGTTTCTAATGTGCCAAAATTTCCTGTTCAGATGAGGCTATCTAGGAAGAGTCGGATGTATGCTTTCTTCTTCCCTCATGAATTTTATTCCTTTGAAGATATTGTTGATTGTTCGATGTATCTTCACTTGTTGTTGCTTTTTTATTACAATGGTATCTACAAAACATACTTTTCTATGTATGTGGAGAGGTACCAGTTTCTAGATGCTGCATACAGTCTCTGTAATGAGTCCTGAGAGAGCTAATTCCTTGGGTGTTCCTCTGATTTGTTGGTATATTTGCCCTTCAAACTGAAAATAAGTAGTGAGGCAGAGGTTGATTCTAGGTATTTTGATCTTAGTGCATTTGGTTAGGTTGGGGTGTTATGAATATGTCTACCATGGATTTTTGAATGAAATGGAAATTGACTGAAACCATAATTTCATCTTCGATTTTTAGGTTTTTAATTTTCTCGAGGCACTGTAGTGAGAGGTTGATATAATATTTGCTCTCTATTGTGAGATGTCCAAACTTTTTTTGTGGGTTCTCTGGCTATGGAGTATGTTGGGTGATACGAGTGGATAAAGAAATTGTCAGGCTTGTGTATTTTTAGTATTCATAAAAGCATGGGAAGATGGGTCCATTGTTTTTCATCCACCACTGTTCTTTTGTGATTTATATTTTAAGATTGTTATGCTTGTTTTAAAACAAACAAATATGATAAATTTACAACACCCAAATTTCATAAAGTACAGAGTACCACAGAGCACATTTCTCCAGCAGTTAAAGCATTAGCTGTTTCTTGTAATACTAAGAAGCAGGTTCACACAAAATGTTCATATACAGACACCCAGGACCAAGGGCAGATATTGGTGTGTGTTCTATTTGTCTCTGACTTAGTCAATTTCAATAGTGATGAAATAGTTGAATTGGAACTGTGGAACATCACTGGATGATGTTGGGCTAGTCAGTCTCTCAGCCCAACTTACCTCACAGGGTTAGAGTTGAGAAATTTTGGAAGATGAATTGCTAAGCACAGTGGAGGTGCTTTGGAGGAAAGGCAAGTCATAAATCAAACAAAAGTAATATTTCTCTAACCAGATGAGATCAGAGCAACAGATCGTGCAGAGATGCAACAGGCCATCTACTTCACGGGTGGGTGTTAAACTTCCAGCGAAACATCCCCTCATGTTTCTTAAGCAAGCAGCTTCCTCTCTGGGAATGACCAGCGGAGTGCCTGGGATGGTTAAGGGGGATTTTGAGGCCCTAGCAATCGTTTTATTATGAAAGGAAAGGGCGCCCCACAGCAGATGCGCCTCCAGCGAGCACACTTTAAATCGTGCGCCCTTTTCGATGACAAAGGCGGAGCCGGCTCGTCCCCCCGTCGGGTCTGGACTGGAGCTACGCCACGCAGCCCTCCGTTAGCCTCGCCGCTCTCCTCGTATCTGGAAGCGATCCTCCTTTCCAGAAGTGGCGGAGCGGGAAAGATGAGTCGCTCCCGTGACCCACGCTTCACCGCCTTCTCCTCGACGTCCAGGGAAAAGTGAGCCTCGCGCGCGCATCAGCGGGTCCCGCGTCTGCCGGCTTCCCCGAGAGGGCGCGCGCTCGCCTCGCGGCTCTTCCCTTTCGCGCCCCTTCCCTGCCCGGCCGCCCCTCGCGCGCTCCAGCCTATTGTTCTCCCGCCGCTTCCTTTCCCCCTCGCCTTCCCCCCTCCAACCCGCTTCGGAGGTGGGCGGGGTTTCCTTGGCCTCGACTGACACTTCGGGGGCGGGCCGGAGCCGGTGAAAACGGGAGGCTGGAGCCGGCTGCCCGGCGGGACGAGAGTCGGCAAAGGCGACGGCGCTGCTGCTGCTGGAGGCAGCTCTGGGCCTGCTGTGCGGCGTTTCGCCTCCGCGGCGCGGGCTGGCAAGCCAATGAGGGCCCGGACTCCGGCCCTCGCTGCCTCAGGAGCTGCCGGGAGCCCCCCGTGCCGACCGCCGGCCCGAGTAGGGGCGGGTCGACTGGTCTCCCCATGCGGCGGCTCCAGGAGAAATTCAGGAGGTGAGGCATGGCGGAGGCTTATTGAGGGGGCGAGGTACTCCGTTACAAGGCTAAGTATCGGCGGCAATTCCTCCTCTCTAGGAGAAAGGCAGCTTCCCGCTAATAGGTGTGTGTTCGCCCTCCGATGCTTTTAATCTGCCAGATCTTTTTTTCTACCGTTCCACCTCGAGAATAGCGACCTCTTAAAATAAAACGTTCTTTAAAAAAAATAAAAAACCCACGTGTCTTTAATCCTCCCCTCTCCGGTTGGAGTGAACGACTGAAACGTGGGCTCCGCTATCCCTTCCCCCTCCGTTTCATGGCATGCTTTGGGGGATTTTAATTCGCCGTGGCTATTTTTGGGTGAGAGAGGTGAGGGGAACGATGTAGGAAAGAGCGAATATCAAGATAGTTTGATTTGAGTTGGCACACTAACCTGCTGCGGGGTAGTCATGTCGAGGGTCAAGTGAAAATGGATTAAGGGCGAGAGTCATTAATCGTGATTAATTAAAGCAGAATACAAATGATGTAGATGTGGTTAGGGGTATACTGTATACCTCAGTCAGGCATATGTGTAAATCATTGCCTCTCTTCTAAAGACTGGAAACCTACAAGAGGGCTGTGGTCTTGACTTACTGCCAGGAGGCTTTTACAAAGTGCTTATGGATTTAATCTCTAGCACTCAATTTTGAATGCCATGAAGGTTGTTTGTCTAAAAGAGTTCAATGTGCATATCTCAGTACAGGTGGAATTTGGGAGGTACTGATGGTTTGTGGCAGGAAGATGGGAAGAGATATTACTTGAGGATGAGTTCCATAAAGTGATGTAAAAAAAATGCATGTATAGTCATTGTAAAGCCATATTTGGGAATAGTGAACTTTTTCAACTGCTTTTTTTTTCCAGGTGAGATTTATTTTGGCTTACAAGCGTGTTTTTTTTTTATCAGTAAGCTAATTGTTGCTTTGCTGTATCTCTGTTGATGGAATACAGCCTTTTTGCTTAGAGTTTATAAAAGGTGCATAATTACATTTTGTGTATGATAAAATTAATTTTGTTTCTGAAAGTAAGTTCATAATGAAATTTCTCTGCTGCCAAAAAATAAAATCACGTATAGGAATGTTAGTCCGCGCATCTGATTTTGGAAGTAGTTTTGTGAAGTACAGAAAAATTGAGAGAAAGAGTATTTATATGCAAGTTACTTTTGTTTTAATACATTTAACTAGACATTAATTTGATCCAAGCTGGTAGTTTATAGGCACATTCCCATCACTTTTTTTTTCTACATCACATTTAATTTTACCTCATTTTTCTCCCCTGCACCATCTACTTATATTCTCTGACATTCTTTCTGTAAACACAGCTATTTATCTGAGGAATGCAAACATTACTGGCCTGAGTTTTCACAGAAGGGCATCTGAAATTCAAACTCTTGGATTCCCTTCCCTTTCCTTCCTTGTTCTTTTCTTCTGGTGCATCAATGCATTTTGTGATTTCCTCTCTTCCACTATAACTCCAAGTGAGAGAAAGGGGTTTATTTCTATAAATCACCTAGAATTATCATGAGCAGCCATATACATTTCCTTAATAAATAAAAAATTGAATCTGTACATTGTTTGAAACTGACAATTAAGACAGCTGAAGTTACAGGGAATGTGAGTATTTGGTATTGCATATACTTGCATATACTTGCTGTTGACAGATTCTTAAATTTATACATGAAAGAAGAAGGAAGTGATCATTGTCTCTGCTGCTTGAGAAAAATGAATAGGCATCTGCTGATGGATGAGAGTACAGTAGACATGATTTTTTTTCAGAAAGGAAATAGATCACAGTGAGATGAAGTTTCTCATCTTCTAGTAGTGGGTGAAAGTTCATGTATCCGGTGTTTGTCTTGTTCATCTTATTTGAATTACATTTCTCTTTCATGCATAGCATATTAGAAAGCTTTTCCATTTCCCCCTATTTTATTTTTCAGAATCATTCATATAGTTGTGGGACAGATTCATCAGATTGAGGGGCAAAGAAAGGATTAAAATCAGTTTGGGAACAATATACTAAAGTAATATGGAAAATATTGTATGTTAATAGAGTCTGTAAAAATGAGTCAAGTATGTGTTAGGTCAGAAACAATAGGGCTAAAATAATAATGCAAATGTTTGTGTCTTTTTAAACAATATGTGTTATAGGGCTCAAAGTCACATCTGTTGTATTTTTTGCTACAGTTATTATCTTGATTCTTGGAAAATGTATCAGATTTCCTCTTTAAAAATCTAAGGAATAATTGGAGTATGATGTGAAAGAGACAAGAATAGTTTAATTTGAAGCATGACTGGACCTGCCTTTATATATGATCCAACTCCACATGGCAACACATGCCTTTATTATTCACATTGGATATGCTAAAGCATTGGCTTTCTTCTTCTTCTTTTATATTATCATTTTTACTTTGAAAAAAATGTAAAACATTTTTTTACCACATATGAGTCAAGAACAATTATTTGGGAGCAAGTTTTTACACAGTTAAAAATAGACAGCTAAAGGAGAAAAGATAATGAGAGTAGGACCGTTGTAAATTTTGGATCTGTCCTTTAATTAAGCGAAACTCCTTAGGTCAAAGTGTAGTAGGTAGCAGTAACTTGCCAACCTTGGCTGATTTAGAAAGCTAAGGAGACTTAGTCTAGTTTAGTATTTGGATGAGACCATCTGGAAATTGCACAAGTGAGAGATAAAGATGGGTGGGTGGGAAATCCCAAAAGAAGCTAGTGACAAACATCTTTTGTATTACAGTATTGCCAAGAATACAATATAGGAGTGTTATGAAATCTATGAGAGTCAGTCTTGAAGGAGATTTTAACCTTTAGTTTTCTTGCATGAAAATAACCAAAATATTTCCAGATGATTCAGCTCCATATTTTCAAAATCAAAATGTTGGAATGATGTTTTTAATTGTGATATGAACTTTTTATTAACCTTATAATTTTGCACACACCAACCATTACTGTAACCGTTGATTTTTTTAAAACTTATTTCATTCATTCAAATAAATATGTAGCAGCCTGATTACCAAAGTCCCTTTTATAGAGAGATCTGGCTTGAATATCAGAGAGCACTTACCAGTTTTCCACTCCTTGTCTCTTATCACTGAAGAGACTTGCAGCTCAGTTAATTAATTGTCTGGAAGGATTGTTTCATACCAGTAAGACAATGAGGTGAATTTTAACGTATCACAAAAACTGGTATCTTAATTATCCCAAGGTGTGTATGTGTTTGTGCCTTGGAATCAATTTTGACTTTTGGAGGCCACATTAAAAGATGTGGGCTAGAAGTCAGCAAGCTTTGAGTTCAAATTTTGGTTTAGGCAGAGAAGCCGGCTGGGTGACTATGGCCCCGTCATTGTATGTCAACTCTAGGAAGAAGACAATGGCAAATCACTGTCAACTTTGTTGCCAAGAAAATTGTGTGGATTGTCTCTCAAGTTACTAATAAATATTAAGAGAACAAGATTAGAATATGATGTATGTTCTTTTTTATTCCTTTCAGATTTACCCTTTAAAAACTAGGCAGTCTGGATCTGCATGTTTATCAGTTTAAGATTCATTTGAATCATTTTTTTAAAAAAAATCCAGTCATTTCTTCTGATAAGATAATTCAAGACCGCAGTATGAGGTTTTAGTAATTTAAATAATCATATACAAGTTTGACTCGATTAGGCATCTTTAGCACAGCATTGTAGAAGTGCCAGTAAGTGCATTTTTAAGCTTTCAAAAAGGATTAATTAAAATGCAGCAATTAAATAAATTGAAGAGCCATATGCTAATAAGATTGCCTTGTAGACATAGCCTAAAGGTAACCTTATTTTTTAAAAAACTTTTTATTGAACTCTCACTTTTATTAGTCTCTCTCTCTCTCTCTCTTTCTCTCTCTCTCTCTCTCTCTCCCTCCCTCCCTCCCTCCCTCCCTCCTCCATCTTATAAGGTTGTTGTGGGGAAAACAGAAGGAGGAAGGAGTATTAAATATGTTCACCACCATAAGTGATCTATTAAAATAATAAAGCTGGGATATTAATTAATAAATCTGCATAAGCATTTCAATACATTTCATCATAAACTTCGATAGCTAGTCTACATCTGCCACTGAAATTTAATAATATAAGGGGGAATGCAATTGCTCACAACTGTGAATAGATGCAAAACAATCTTAGGTTAACAAGAGGAAGGCTAATAAGCTAATTATTATTTTGGGGAACAAAACTGCAATATGGCAACTGATAGCTATGGATCAAGCAGACTGTATTAAAAGGATTGTTTCAATCTAATTTTGATTGCCCTTTAGAGCTATTTTATATTAAGTGGTTACCATAAGGTAACCAAGAATTACTTGCAAGCTAAGGCTTGGGGTTCCATGCTTGTATTTTCACGCATATAAATGAATGGGCTGAGCAGAAGGGAAGGAACACTTTGTTTCTGTTCTGTAATAACTCAGTGTAGCTAAACTTTTGTGGCTTATTTTTAAGCCAACTCTGCTTTTAAAGGAAATATTCAAGTCGTTGTTTTGGTGAGACAGAAGAAAAGGGATGATGGGAATATCTTATCTCAAATAGGAAAAAAAATTCCACGTTTCTATTATATCTGTAAGCCGCTGGCTTGTCACCTGCATGGATTTCTGCTTTCAAACAGTATGAATGTTGTTTAATACTGTAAATTATTCTACTGTAATGCAAACTACTCGCTGCAGTTTTCTTGACTTTTAGGAAAAAAAGAGCAAAACCATTATATGGGAAGAGTCATAAAGTGAATGACATAGAAAAAGCTTTAGAGCACAGGTCCCCAACCCCCGGGCTGCAGCCCGCTAGTGGGCCGTAGCCTATTCAGAACGGGGCCACGTGAGTGGCGGGCCGGCACACACGCAGCTTGACTTGCACGAGTGGCGGGCCAGCATGCTTGAATCCAGTTGTGCACACATGTGCGCCAGCCTGCCACTCACACGAGTTGAGCTGCATGCGCATGCCCGCCTACCGCTTGCGCAGTGCATTTCCCCTCTCCCCCTCCAGCCCGCCGCCAAGTTGCAAAGTTTGGGGACCACTGCTTTAGAGGTAGTTCATTATACCAGATACTGAGTCTGATACAG